TGGTCCTGGTGCTTTACTGACAGTGTGACATCAAAAACGGTTTGCCGTGAAGCCGGTGGTCTTCATTCTAAATTTAATAGCTGCCCAAGAAATGGCCACGTGAAAACAGATCCCTGCCTCCCCCTGAAGCTGTGAGCCACAGAACCGGTGGGAGAGTTTCAGCATCTTGTCAATACCCATCCGCCTGCCTCCTTGTAACATGACCTCTGCTCACTGCGTTTCCTCGTCCTGCACTCGGAAATCAGTTCGAGTGGGACCTTCTCGTGGACGTTCACCCTGAGGGGCGTGCAGAGTGATTCGCTGAGACTGTGGAGAATCAGGACTTCCCAGCACGTTTCTCCTAATCTCATCATTTTAATGCATCCTTTCGTGTATGTTTTATAGTATATTTACATTGCAATAGTCTAAGCACAAAATTGATAAATAAATATGCCCATATTAAGGGAGAATGCCAACAAATAGTTGGTGTGAGTGCATGATAATAAACAAGTATTGGAACCTGCTGTTTTACAGGATTTAGATTTTATGTAGGATCAGCTTTTCCATATCGCTGCTGCGTATACTGGGGTCGTCCCGAAGCCACGGCAGAGACTTAGCCAAGTACCTTCCAGGGATAGAAGGAGGGGCCCAGTGTCACCGGAGCCTCAAAGAACGGCTTAGCATTGTAAAGAATCACATGAATGTTGTTGGCCGGGGCAGGGCCAGGACGTGGGGAGAGGGTCAAAGTGGCTCCGACAATAAATGAAACGTTCTAGGTCGTGGGGCACGCGGACTCGGTGGGATGGGGTGTTGTTGTAAATGGTTCCCGGTCAAGCAGCAATTAGACACAGCGCGTGATTGTGAGCTATGGCAGGAAGCCTACTGTGTGTGAGGATACAGAGCACGCTTTATTCTTTTCACGGTGAATGAGAGAAAAGAAGCAAAGGTACGAGGAACATTTTTGGAAAAAGCTTTGCTTTGACCCAGAGGGGTTTTCGTTGGACTTTGAACCAGTGGGGAAATACAGGTTTCTATCCGTTAATGGGGAGGGGTGCTGGTCACCAAATCGACAACTCTTGTAAGCATGCTGCATCCTTCTGTCACCCCAAATAGGAGACACTGGGTGTGGGGGTAGCAAAATCAAGTGTGAACGGCGGTCAGCACCCGGGTTCCTAGCTGGTTCGGTAATGTTATTGGATGCTGTGCTTGGAACGCATAGACACACGTTTGTATGTGTATGTGTGTGTGCATGTGTGTGTATGTGTGTACATATGTGTATATGGGTATACAGTTGACCCTTGCACAACACGGGAGTTAGGGGTGTCAACTCACTGCACAGCCCAAAATTTGAGTCTAACTCCGAATCCCCAGAACGTAACTCCTAGCAGCCTGCTGTTGACGGGGAGCCTTACCAATAACATAGACCATTGATCAGCACGTACTTCATATGTTCTATGTATTATATATTGTATCATTGCAAAAGGGAGGCTAGAGAAAGTAAAATGTTACTAAGAAAACCATAAGGAAGAGGAGATACATTTATGTTCCTTGCTGTATTTATCGAAAAAACCCCTGCATAAGTGGATGTGTGTGGTTCAAACCCATGTTATTCAAGGGTCGACTGTGTATATATGTGTATGTATAGTTTTGTGTGTGTATGCCGTAGCTCTGCTATGTTTTAAAAACACAATATGCCCTTAACCCAAGCAGGTTTTACTTTTATCCGTCCCCATGCATGTGCCCACCATGGGAGAAATGATGGCTGTTCTCCCCGTCACTACGGTAGATATATTTTCAAGTATAAATATGCAATAGAGTGTCTTTGGAAATGAAGTGCTGTGTTTATCCCTGTGTAATGAAGCTGTCAGGGTAACCTGTATGGATGGAACCGCAAGTAGGTTATAAAACTTCCTTTAATGAATATACGTAACTCAGTTGTCATAAACGAAGGCAGGAATTAGCACTTGGTTCAAACCCAGTGAAGCCAAACTGCACATGTCCTACGAATTATCTTAATGGTTCCCAAACACTGCCACTTACAGCGAGGTTAGCATGTAAAAATGACTAGCCCGACGACAAACCTTGTTCAGTATACACCATAGATAATGCGTTCGAGGAATAACCACCCAGTTTCCTGTGTGTGTTTGCACTTGATAGAAGCCATTCAGGGATACCTCTTGAGCAAGGATCCGTCCTTCTGTTCAGGACATCTGCAACATGCCCTAGGAATGTGTCTTCTCTTATGAAAACATACTGTGTCGGTGAAAAGCAACCTCCTAGTGTCCTGCACTGCGTTTCAGAAAGAATGTCCCCTTCAAAATAACGTTATTTATTACAGCGTCACATTAGCGCAGTAGGATCATTAGGAACAAATACTGGGTACTTCACAGGTTACATAAGCAACCACGTTCTTTCCTGAGAACTTGAAAATGATTCACGGAAGAAGCATTATCTGAGCTCCACATGACCTACTTGTGAGTACAATTTAAGAAAAATATGAGCCCATTCTGTATCAGAAAAGTCTTACGCACTGATATCTCCTGTAGAATGAAAAGATCACCAAATCCAGAATGATGACCTATTTATTTAAAGCAAATTTGACTCAATAAAATTCCAGCGCACCATAATTGGGACAGCCCTTAGAATTCATCTCCATATAATAGCATCTGTCCTCAGTGAATTGAACTTTTTTTAGCCACCACGTCCTGGTTGCCTGCTATTTAATAGAGTTGCTGCAAGACAGAAATCATAGCTTATTCACCTTCGTGTCTCACCGGAGTATCCAGAAAATGAGACGGCTTTCTGGCCTGTGCATTCACTTCCTAATTTATAAATGGCTGCATTCAAAGTGTTGGCCCGTATGATGATTATTTAAAACACAAAACATGCGATTTTTTTTTTCCTGCAGAAATAATGTTATCCATTGAAGCTCACCTCCTAAAACTTCCAGCTTTAGCATCGTGAGGGCCACACACGATGATTCCCCTTCTCTTTGTAGAACAGTCAAATCAGGTTGTGTGTTGGGGTTCCCCGGACCACTCTGCGGTTTGCTGACTTGCTAGGAGGACTCAGGATGCAGCATAGAGTCCTAATCATAGGGGTGATTTGTTACAGCGAAGGACACAAAGCAAATTCAACAAAGGGAAAAGACGCATGGGGTGAAGTCTGGGGGAGCTAGGCACAGGCTTCCAGAACCTTCTCCTGGGGGAGTCATGCGGGACGCCCCTGGTCCCTCAGCAATGACTTGTGGCCTCATGTGTGAGTCTCGTCCACCCGGGAAGCTCAGCTGAGCCCAGAAGCCCAGGGTTTTCACTGGGGGCTGGTCACCAGGCCCCTCTGGCCGGCATGCACCGTGATCCCAGACTCCGGTGGGTGTCAGGCATAAGCCCCGTTGTTTGTACCAACTGTTTGCGTATGGTGAGCCCCTCTTCTCAGGGAACGGTAGGAACCCCCTCCCATAAGCCCAGAGCTTGGATGCCAGCCAGGAGCCTCCTTGCCAGTGGGCCTTTCTGGAATACCAACCCCAGACCTGCTTCTGGGTCTTCTACACAATGTACTTTGAAGTTTCTGGGGGAGGTCTTGTTCTTGGGGTTAGGGGTGGGCGTGTCCCTCTCTCTCCTCCCGCCCTGCTTGTCTCTGAGTGTGCACGAGAGTTCGGAGGCGGAGGCCGGTGTCTGTGGCCGGGACTCCGTGTCCGTGTGTGCACAGCAGTTGGACCTCTGGAGGGACCCCCCACCAGACGGTCTTCTCCCCAGTCGCCCGCTCACCCCCACGGCTCTTGCTGGAAGGTTCCTCATGTGCTTCCCAAGGGACGAGGAGGAGAAAACCCGTCAGGAACATGACTCTCAAACATGAGGCCAGTTCGCACTTGCATTGCATTTTGTGTTGTACACTTGCCGTTCTGTATGTTTGTCACTTGAAACTTCTGAGAGCAAATCAGGGCTCTGCTGTGATAGACCCTTCCTCACTCACCAGCTTCTCGGGAAGGAACCAGGCCCCTCGTATCTTGGCGAGCAGCCTCTGGGCATGTCACGGTCCCCCTGCCTTGGACGATGAGGAAGGAGTGAAGGAATGGGCTTGTGTGTGCCAGAGAGCAAATCTGTAAAGTCCGAGTGAGTGTTCGATCTCTAGACATGCGCTGACCAGCGACGGGTAGCAGGGAGCGTGAGTGGGATGGGGGTGAACGGCTTCTGCGCCAGATGGGTGTGTGTCAGGCCAAGGGGAGCACCGGGCACGGCTCGGGCTGCGAGGTGGTTCGGGGCCAGGTGACACCTGGGTCACCGCTCCGTGGAAGCACTGACCCCGCAGGACGCGTGTGATACTTCAAAGCGTTGCGACTGTAGGGAAGCGCACCTGGTGGGTGGGGCACAGTGGCTCAGCAGCCGCCAGGACCCAGATGCTCAGGGCAGGGGGGAGGGGGGCTGTGTGGTGGGAGGGGCGCGGGCGGGGGGGGCCCCGGCCACGGGGGGGAGGGGCGGGCGGGGGGGGCGGGGTGGGAGTGGGGGTGCGCGGGCGGAGTCGGACCGCTGTGTTCAAGCCTCAGCTCCTGTGGTCCTGGGGCCCCTCCTTAGGCCCTGAGCACACCTGAGGGAAGCAGGTAGTCCAGGCGAGGCTTCCGTCAGTGCCTGGCGCAGAGGGGAGGGTCCGTGAGCGCGCGGTGTCAGAACTAACTTCATTCGTGCAGTTTTAATTCATTTCCTTCTCCTGTTTAGTTATCATAGTCTGGGGGTTTTCAAGAAAGTCATTGTTTAAAAAAAAAAAAAAACCGAAGCCACCCATGAGCGCAGCTGTATTTCTTCATGCCCGCAGACTACTGGCCCTGTGCTAAAGGTGGGGATGACCGGGGGACAGTTAGGACAGATGGATTGCGAGGTGCTGGCAGATACGTGATTAAATCCTGTTTAGCGGGAGCTGACACCTGCCGGGCAGCCCTGTGCAGGTGTGTTCCCCGTGCTCCCAGACCCCGCGGGACCCCCGGCTCCCCAGCGCCGTCTGAGCTGTGCACTCGCTGTCTCCTACAGGGCCAAGGTGCAGAAGGGCGTGAGCGTCGTGGGGGTGAGAGCCAGCAGCCCTTCCATTTGGGAGGTCACGGAGGGCACAGACCACAGTGGCAAGTATGCACCTGCTGTCATCGTTTGTCAGAAGAAATCTGCTGGCTCGGAAACCAGGTGAGTCCCATGGCGTCCAGCGTCTCCAGACTTGCTGTGACGGGGAGCTCCTTCTCCCCGCGTGTGCTAACAACCCGTTCTCACTGTGGTTTGCATGTGGTGCCTGTTGTCTGTATAACTCGTGCTTCTCAGGAAGATGGATGGCTCCGACCCCCTCCACAGTTGAGCATAACCTCGGGGCACCTGCAAGGACTGCTCCGTGCAGGTGGGATTTATCTGCAGATGGTCCTGCCCTGCCTCATGGCCTCCTCCCCCTCGGTCTGGGCATCTCTGATATGATGGCCTGTCCCTCGAGTGTTACAGCAGCGCTGTGTGTATCTGGGCACACGTGGGGTGCATTCCCCATTTGCCACGTAGACGTATGTGATTGTTTGTGCACACGCACTTTCTGATGAACGGCACGCTGTCTGCTGTGGAATGATAGGCCATTGTGAATCACTCTAGAGACAAATTAAAACTTGAATCTGTGTCTGATACCCACCAAATTAGAAACCCTCAACTCACAGCTGGGCAGAGAGACTTGGAAACTCAGTGGTTCTTGATTTATTCCTGTTTTTCTGAAACCTCATTTGTGGCTCTGGAGAATTCCTAGTCTGGTCACATATTTTTACTGCTTTCAAGCTGATCGGTTTTTGCTCTGTATATTATGGAAAATTGAAAAAATAACAAGCAGATGAATCCCAGGTATGTAACACGTTATTTCTGGTGTCAAATTATTAAACTTCATAGCTCAGTGTTGGGAAAAAAACGTTTGTTTTCCATTTACTTATTCTAATATCGAGAACATGAATCTCAGCTGATAGCTAGGATACATTTTTTTGGTTCATTATCAGGGAGCATTTGATGCCAGTCTGGGGACAGTTTGACTTGGGGTCCCGTCTGTGTTCCCTGTGCTTATTACATTGGTGGTGCTCCAGGACTCAGGTCGTCAACTCTCAAGCTCTCGCTTGTGTCCTTCCTTTTGTGACCAGTGTTCTAAGAGTTTTTCTTGAAGATTTGCTTGCACAGCAAATGAGAGGAAAAGGAAGAAATTCGGATTTAGAGTTCTGCCCTGTCTATGTAGTAACAGAATGGCACACTGATTCACAAAATGAACTTACACGTATCCACACATCCAAATATGGCTGTGCCAGTCATGTGATTTGGTAAGTAGAGGTAAAAAACCTTAGTAAAGATTTCTTTTGTGTTGTGAAGTTAGCAAAAATGAGGAAGGAAGGATGGATGGATGTATGGATAGATGCGTGATAGGTAGTTCGGTAGGCGGGTAGGCAGGTGTTCTTTACCAGGAGAGGAATTTGGGAGGAAGGATCTCAACCAGTCTGTTTTGTTTTCTGCTCTCTTTCTTGCATTTTCTCTGTGGGTTATTGTTAAAAGTAGGGGTTGGAGTGTTTTCTATGAAACGTGAAGAGATTCGAACTATTTTAAACTTTTTTTTTTTTTTTTTTTGCTTTTGAATTTCTGGCTAAGAATTAGTTCAGTTTGTCTTGGCCCTGGAGGAGAAGTAAGGAAACTTTCTGAAGGTGCCTCATCCCAATTAAGGTGTAAGCTGCTTTTCCTGAGTCAAGCGAAGGCCTTGAACACTTCTTTAAGTGGGACAGAAACTCAGCATCTGCAGAACACATGGAAACATATCAACATATGGGGCTTGCCACTTTTCTTTTATTTCTATCAGTATCTTCTTTCAGAAGCAAGTGCCCCAAATGGAATACCAAGTTATTCCTTCAAAATCCTGATACCATAATGCTATTGCCTATGGAGAACATGCCTTATCCCTTTGTAGATTCTGATGTCCGTTCTCTGTTTCCTGCTGTGGGTCCAGATGATATGAAAAAAAGCACACATGTACACAGACATACACACTTATGTGTGTCTGTGTAGGTAATATGTGATATATATTATATATATGTATATGTGTACCACGTGTTTGTGTCCGTAATGAGATACATGTATCTGTGTAGCGGGACTCTATGGAACACGTATACGATACATATATGATATGGGTGTTTAAGCATGTGCACACATGTATGCACACATTGTCATGTGATTTATCCGTACTCACATGTGTCGATGTGCATGGAGGGTTATGTTTTTAGAATCCAGTTCTTTCGCCGCAGCTAGGAAGGATCTGCCTAATGAGGAAGCCTGCACGTGTGAGCTCTCCCTGTTTGGGAATGTGACTCTCCTGTTTGCAGCTCTGGTTCCAGCCCCTACAGCAGCATCTGGTGCATGTGGGGATCTCCATAAATGCTTATTTCCTGCAGTTCTAGAATTCCACTTCATCTCTGTTACTACATGCGGTGGGATGCAAACCATACATCCTGAATCCTCGCCAGTACACCTGTTTAAAAAAGCAAGGTGTATAACAGGGTGTATATTGAAGGCCAGTTTAGGGGAAAACCCAGGGAAAGGTACTTTTTGAGCAGAGGATGTGGTAACTGTGCTTTCTCCTGGGTGGGGTGTCAAGAAGTTGGGGGAGAAGGCTGAGTGTAAGTTACATTATCCTGTGAACCATTTGGACTGTGAATTTTTCGCTCTGTGCATGTATTACCATTTAATAAAATGTATACAGCCAAATTGACATTTTTGAATATGATATATTCATTAATATATTCAATTTTTCTCCTCACTTCAGAAATTTTCATTTTACTTCTGTCTGCACAGTATTCAATGAAGAAATACCATGCTCCAGTATTTGGGGTAGTGAGCCGCCTGGGAGGAGAACCATTTCTCTTTATTTGAAGGATAATTGGAAAATGTATTATGGAGTGGATAGTTTAACATTAGAAGGTTTTGCTTCAGAAGTTGTCTTGCTTTATAAGTTCTCCCCACTCTCTTTGAATGTTTCTTAGTTATTCGTAAAAGTCAGAATCAGATCATCAGAATGCAAAGAGGCAATCTTAATTAGCCCGAGAGTCATGGATTTTGTATTGCTAATAATTCACCGGATCACGAAGTTGTGTTAATGAAGTTAAGTCACTGTGACGGGTGTAATTTTATGGATTAAGGAGACACTTGTGGTAGTGATGAATTCAACTGGAAGGAGAGATGATCTCTCATCTGAGTTGAAATACAGCCTTCCCTTTCTGGAGAAGTTTGGTTGCTGAAAACCTTATCATCATAGTATTAACATATCAATGTTATCACAGCTAGGGGGGCTCTGGAAATAGTATGGAACAGACTAGAATAACTAATGCTCTGCTCATCAGATTCCATTTTGCATTTTTAGAATCTCACTCACTACAGCACAAGGTAAACTGAGACCAGTGTGTAACAGAAGCCGTATATTTTTTACGTACTTGCTCTTCTCTGCATAGAGGAATGTTTTCCAAAGTTTGCCACTGTTGCTGTGTAAATGATTTTAGGTGGTAACATTGAATAAACTTGAATGACATTTGCTTCCATGGCTTTCGGTTCTCCAGGAAGACTTCTGATGGAAACGCTCAACCTTGGCCTTACAGTGTCTCCTTTGCCAGCAGATCATAGAGAGGCAAGAGTACACAGCTAGAATTTGATTTTTTTTCATAATTATCATCTACTTATTATATATGACACTGATGTTATGTTTATCATAGGTAATGTGTCCTGCTTTAAAACATATATATTTTAAGAGCATGAACTGCTGTAGAAATAATGGATATTTCGAATAGAGGCAGAAATGACTAAAGTCATGAATGTACATTCAAAGTGAGGTTATTCTGGCATCGATAAGTATATCTCAGACTCTGTTAGGATTATTTGATTACTTAATTTTTAATGCAAATAAGAGTGACTTAAGTAAGACAGAAGTTTATTTCTCTCTCACCCAGAAGCAGCCCAATGTAGGTGGGCCAGGGCTGGTACATCAACTCCCCAGTCCTTCAGGGTCCCAGCCACCTGTCTTTTTGCATGGCATGCTGGTGCAGGGCTTGCATCCTCACAGACTAAGATGACTGCAGGGGTGCCAGTCATCACATCTGCCCTGTTGAAAAGGGTCTTCTCAGCTGGGTCAGCTCCCTTTCAGCAACTGGAAACCATGCCAACAAACCCCAATTTCCTCTTGCATCTCCTCGGCCAAGACTCAGTGAAGTGGCTACAGCAGACATCAAAGGAAAGTAGGAAACATCATTGATGACGGACAGTGGTGTGTTCAGCTCAGCATCATTTTTCCGCTCCAAAGACAGAACAGACCAAATGGATACAGCAGCCCAAATCCTCTTTCTCAGCAATTTTTAAAGGGCAGATGTTGTGGGATTTCCAAAAGGAAGATGAAAAGCACATGGTACCTGGCAATCTCTTTCACTCTGCCAGGCTCCTATGGAGGTTCCCAGAGAAATATAAAGGGAATATAGGGTGGGTAGACCCACCTTAGCAATGCACCAGAAACGTTATGCACCGGTTAGAAAGTTAAGGCAGAGTTTGTTCAGGTGTAGATGGTACTGAGCTGAACGAGATTGCCAAGGGGGCCTGTCCCAAGTGTGCATGAGAGAGAGAGAGAAAGCTGGACTGTGAGTGGAGACCCAGGCATGAAAAGCCGGGACTGGTCCTGATGCAGACAGCACGCTGTGCACAGGTGTGCGTGAACATGAAGAGCCGGCAAGGCATTCCCTCTGGAAGCGGCAGAGTCCCCGCGTGGGGGGCACCCCCAGGGACTGGTGAGAATGAACTCGGGGAAAACCCTCAAAAACCCGAGACAGAGACAGAACTGCCTTGCATGAAACAGAGATGCTTTTAAACACTGATCGGTGTTCTCAGACTCCGGTCAGAAAAGATGGATCGAGCCTCGAGGAGGAGAAACCACAAGATCAGGAAGACGGAGAGAAGCTGGAACACCGTGGCCGTTGGGTTCAGGGCTGCAGAAACTCGAATCCGCGTAGCTGGGCAAAACCTTCAGGAGAAAGAAACTTCAGAAGAGAGCATGAGAAGTGGAAAGAAGGAGAGACCCCTGAAACCAGCCAAACGAGTGTAAACAAAGAATGACCACAGGAACATGGGAGCTAACCTAGTTACCAAAGAGTCCAGCACTCCTAGCTCTGCAGCCAGGGGAACTGAAAGCAAGAGTTTGCACAAAAGTTGTTGCATGCACTTCACACCAGCATCACCCATCGCAGCTGAAAAGCGAGCAGATAAACCAGTGTGGTGTGCCCACCCGAGGGGACCCTGCTTGCATTTACACAAAGGGAAGTGTTGACCCATCTACAACACGGACCAGCTCTGAGCACGTCACGCCACGCGATACGAACCGTTTAGACGATGTGTCCCTAGCGGGCCACTTCTTAGACCTGCGTCTGGGCAGCTCCGCGGTTGCTGGGGAGCGGGGGCTGAGCCTGACTGCTGGTGCACGTGGGTTCCTTTCAGAAGTAATAAACGTATCCTGCAGGTCGGTAGGGGGGCTGCAAGCCACTCGCCTGTACACTTTAAAGCGAGGACTTTGACAACATATGAATTATATCTTAATAAACGTGCTATAAAAGTAGATTACAAAATTGCTTTCAAGAGAATACCAGTTTGTTTCCAAATGAATAGAGGGCAGGAAAAATTGAGACAGGACCCAACAGAATGTAGACCGCGCTCATCCCCAGGTGGTGACGTCACGTGTGACGCATGCATTCCTTGTCATTTTCTCGGTGTGTGTTTCTGAAAATTCCTGTAGTGAAGGTGGATTGTTTTGAATTAGGAAAAGAAGAGATAGGGAAAACAGAAAAATTAAGCTGTCCTGCATTGTGACAATTGTTGTTTAACAGAGTCCTGGATGCTTGTCCTTGTCGTTACGGAGTGGAATATGGACTATTTGGGGATGCTGTGTCCATCTGCGGGGTTGCCCAGATTCAAAGCCAGAAAGGTCTGGCCCCTTTGTTTCAGGCAATAATTACTTGTGATAGAGATCTTATAGATTGAAAACTGTTCCGTTTTGCTTTAGAAGCGCAGTGTGATGATTGCTCTTTGCTGCTGTGGGCTGTAGCGAGATGTGATGGACCCAGTGATGGAAAATAAAGATCTTGAGATTTCTTTTAATTAATGTAATAATTTGATTAGATATATTTTCCGGGGGTCTGTCTTCAGCGAGGCAGTTCAACTCTTCTGACATCTAGAACCTGAGGTTAACAACAACAAAGCCTGAGATGATGGTATAAAGTTGTCAAAATTATACATCTTTCCTGTGTAAGTGATTTGTTTGATGCCTTAAATGCTTGCGGCATCCTTATCATTGATTTCGGATTACGATATGCATACGTTTTACCATTTGAATGAGAATTCCTTTCCGAAGGGGTAGAAGGAACAGGGGCATCACAGCCAGGGAATCTGATATGTTTCATTTTTATGCTGACTGACTCACGTCACCAGAGAAGTAATAGGAGTTAAGCATCCTCTTCTGTGATACCAGCAACAATATCAACGCAAGGTCGGCCTTTGCCGAACTCTTGTGCGAATCTCATATAATCCTGCGTGTGAACACACTGAAATAATCAAGGGCACCATGCTAAGAAAACCATCTATTAATTGTTTTCAGATTGTTAAAATGGCGTATAATATAGGGAGCCTGCGTACCCAAGTCCTCCTAGATCGTGGAGAATTATATTTTATTTCCATATTCTAAATGAAAACTTTCGTAGAGTACGAGATGAATTACGTTAGTCGCCTGTGGAGGTTTTATCAAGTATCAGGTCTGAATTCAGAACCTGTCAGAAGCATTTCCATTCAAGTATGTTTTAATAACTTCGGCATTAGGGATACAACAGACCGAGGTATTGTTTCCAATACTACCAGATAGCATTTCTTCTAATCATATTGCAAGGGGGGGAAAAAGGATGCATATAATAAAATGTTTTTCTGAGAATGAGGAAGAATAAGGGATGTTTATAGTGCTGTGCTGGAGGAATTATAAAATGCTTCATCCACTTTGGAGAGATATCTGTTGGTATCTGGCTAGTAACATTTAAGACGTGCATCTGTATGACCCTAAAATTGCATTTCTAGGTACATCTAGTCCAGATTAAGGCTTGACTATGGATGTGGAGAGATGTGTACAATGGCATTCGTTGCTGTATTTTTAAAAATCACTGATGGCCAGAAACAAACTAAATATTCATCAAGAGGTGAATGGACTTTACAGTACATTCATATGGTGGAATCTTATTCTGCCATTGTGAGGAGTGGCTTAGATATAATTATATATATATATTAAGACTTTACTTATTTATTTATTTGAGAGAGAGAGAGAGAGAGAGCAGGGGGAGAAGCAAACTCCGCGCTGAGCATGGAGCCCGATGCAGGGCTTGATCCCTGGACCCTGAGATCATGACCTGAGCCGAAACCAAGAGTTGGACGCTCAACTGACTGAGCCACCAGGCGCCCCTAGATCTAGTTATTAATGTGTGGCAACCTCAAATTGACCTGAACATCCAGCATTGTGGAGAGTAGGATGTTTGGATACCATGTCTGATGTTACCTCTCAAGTGATTACAAAAGAGACATGCAGAATTGTGTTGTTTTTGAGGGAAACAGAATTAATACAGATGGAGGTGGGATGATACTGCTCCTTGAAAGTCCAGCCTCGCATGCACGACTCGGAGGATGGTGTGCAGGATGCTCTGCGGGCAGCGTCGAGGAGATGGCTCTGGGATCTTCCCAAGACTGTGCCTCGTTCTGTCCCAGGAAACGGAAGATTCCTTGTGCTGCTTCCCCGAGAAACATACAGACTAAGGATGGTGGCATGATAATTCCAGCACATGGCATTACAGTTAAGGGGAAATTATGAGCCCAGTTCTCTGTGAAATTATACCTCGGGCAGACTCATTTACCATTTCCCAACACCCACCCAATCCCATTATGCGGAAACACGGGGAAGCGTGAGCTTTGCCTTAATTTACCCGTGTGTTGCTTTACTTTTATTACATCCATATATTTGATACTTAATATCTCCCATTTCCAAGTAGAGTACCAAATTTAGAACTAAATTATTTAGCACCCGCTTTCAGCGGGTGACAGCAGTGAGTTAGTGCCGTTCGTCTTGACTTGCAGAAGCTGCCTCTGCTCTCGGTGGGACCCCCGGGGCGTGCAGGACTCCGGCGCCAGGTGCCCTAGCTACAAAGCTAACAGTTGCGGCCTGAGTAATAACCTAATAGCAACGAGGAGTATATCATGCCGCTCGCTGTGTTCATCAGTGCCTCATCCACACACTGCGGTGCTGTGCATCCCGGCCGACGTTGGGCTGCTGGTGGTGTGTGATTTCACAACGCCGGCCGGCCCTGTACCCACTGAGTCGAGGAAGGATCAGCTCTTCATTCGTTGGAATCACCAGAAGCATCTAATAGCAGGCATATCTGATGGGACCCAGAACGGCCCGTCTAGAAACCCGTGGCCTGCTCTTCGTCTTCGAATACATTTCTGAGCTGGAGACCACGTGGGGAGGGAATGTGTGTGTGTGTGTGGGTGTGTGTGGGGGGGGTGTGCGCGTGCACAGCCCTTAGAATCCTGGTCTCCGAAGAAGGAAAACATTATCAGCAAGAGTCCTATGGGGAAAAATATGTCAATGTCTGTATCTGTGTATCCATGTATCATTTCTCTGTCTCTTCTAGATCTGTATCTTGTCTCTATCTTGTTTCTATTTATACTTATACATATGTGTAATATGGATACGTGCATAATGCAAAATACGATTTTTTAAAAAATTTGCTGAGAGTCATGAGTATCTGTAGTCATACTTGTTTTCATAGGTGTTCATTGTACAACAGGTGCATAGTTCCTTAGATGTTTTTGAGGGTGAGGGAGAAGTTCTTAGGGACAGCCAGCCTTCTGATCACTTAGCTATCCGGGCTGCTCTGATCTCGGCCTTCATACTCTGTGACCGATCTTGGCTGTGAGCACCTGCAAACATCCCGAAATCTCCACATTTCCCTGGTGTGCTCAGCCTCATGTGTATGGATTATCTGTTTCTTGAAGGCCTGGGGGGCAGCTTAGAAAGATAATAGTATTTCATGGGACGTTAAAAAAAGAAACAAAAGGAGAATTATAGGATCCATCCAAAGTAGCTTTATTTATAGTCCAACTGTGAAAAGTATCATCTTGTTTCTCGGGTTCTAAAAATTTCATTCTGATTATTGTTCTCTTGGACAGGATGGCTTCTTTTATTTTTAAATGTACATATTTTGGATATTCTCTCTGCTTCCGTGCTTTGTGCCGATTGGTTCAAGAAGTTTCCCTGGTGACTTGTTAGCCTTTGACTCTTGTGATTAATTTTGTCGCCAGTTAGCCCGGCGCACCTTCTCTTTTTAGGCCTAGTTGGAGAAGATAGCAAGAAGGTCACGAAACTTTATATTCTTACTTAGTGCTCTCTTTTTTTTTTCCTGTTGGAGCTTTGGAGTTATAAATTATATATCATAAAATTCACCCATGTAAAGTATGCAGTTAAATGAGTTTTAGAAAACTTTGACCATCACCACAATCTGGTATTAGAGCACACTTCCGTTACCAGAGTCTTTTTTTTTTTTTTTTTTACTCATCTGCTGTGAATTCCCACCTCCTCAATTCCAAGCAATGACCGATCTCTTTTCTGTCTCCATAATACTGCGTTTTCCATATTAGCCCAAAATGGAAACAACCCAAATGTCTCTCAACTGGTGAGTGGCTAAAACACTGAGCTACACCTTAGCTGTGGAATAGTACGCAGCGATGAAGAAGAACGCCCCGTGTGCATGAGCAGGCTTGGCTGAACCTCAGCGGTGTGCTGCTGGGGGTGAGAGTGCAGAAACAGGAGGTGATGTGTTCTATTCCCCATTTATATGCAATTTCTAGACCTCAGTTTATGGTAGTTCATTTTCTCCCTGGCATCCACCAAGTTACCAGGCACCAGATTACTTTATTATTTCCTGAATTACTTTTATTTTCCTCTTTTTATAGATGAATTTGCTCTTTTATGAGATTTTAAAACTTTTTCTCGGTGGAACCTTAACTTGATCAGCAGTCAAGGAAATGATGTTGTAGCCAGCCAGCATCAAGAGCATTTTCATCTCACTCTTTTGAAGAGATTTATCTCATTGAACCAAAGATTCCAATCAATAAACGCAGGGGGCTCTCAATCCTTCATCTTTGTCATAAAGGTAGATCTGGTTTTTATACCATAGAAATAAGATGTATGACCTCAACTCCCATTACAAGGTCGTGGCCTCTTGGCTACAGTCAGAATTCTAAAATATTCTGGAAAGGAAAAAAACTGGGTTTTTCAGTTGTGGATAGATGCCAGCATAGAATGCAATTAGGTCAGGATCTGTTTCAAAATGTGCAGCAATCATCTGGGACTCTCTAAACATAAGCAAGTGTCTTTCCACTCCGTTGACGTCAGTGTTAGTCACGGGGATTGTCTCTGTCGGTCACTGCTTAGCATTGTCCCCGTGTAACTTTCGGAGCCCGAGATACTTGCTGGATGTGGTTTTGATGACCCACTCCTGGAAGCAGATGGAACGTGGATGAGAACAGCATTTTGCTTGGTGTGTCGGTGCTCATTACAACAGATCCTCATGGAGAAAACCGGCATGGAGCCCTGAGAAAGGGCCGCGACGGTGTGAGTGCCTGGGGACTGCGTGGCCTGGCTGCTAAATGCTAGTAGCAATTGGCCTTGATATGGAGACGTGGGATGTCTCCACCCCGTGCCGCTCGGTGGTTGTGGGCGTAGACTGCTGCTTTTCCATGAAATCATCCAAACGGAGGGGAGTCAGACTGAAAACCGTTGAAGGTGGGCCACGTTCCGCGAAGCCCAGCAAGAGTGCGCTGTGTTTACGGCACTCGCCCGCCCTTCCCACCTGCAGGATGGCCCGCTTGCTCCCTGGCCTCGACGCGCTCTCCAACGGGAGTAAAGTTATTCAGAAGGGAGTTTATCTCACCCGAAGCGGAAACGAGGATCCCTTGGGTGCTGAGGTTAGCTATAACATCCAAACCGTGCAAGCCGTCGGTACCAGTGAGTTCTGGGGAGAGTTTGCTGCTCGCACCGGGCACTGGATGCCGCATTGTCTGTGTGGCTGTGGACAGGTCGCCAGTCTTACGGGAGCATGAGGGGGTTGGGCACCAGGGTCGTAAGTGGTCCACCATGTTTTATTTAATGCCCACAATGTCACGTCAGGTACGGCCTGACGCTGTCCTCCTGTCCAGCTTCAGCACCACCTGGCCCGCATTCCTCGAGTCCTTCACAGTGCGCGGCGTGTCTTACCTGTTTTATCTTGTGCTTTATTCTGATTGTTCCCCAGCTGCCGCTGAAGCGAGGGTCCCCATCCTTTTTGGGGGCCGTGGACTGCGTTGGCAGCTCCCTCATGCCTAGGAATCTTTTCTCAGAATACTGTTTTTAATTTCATAGAATCAAACTCCTAGCAGAGCCGAGGACGGTGGTTATATTGAAACATGGTTTAAAAAAATATTTTTTTGTGGTGTGGTAGATGTGCTCCCTTCCTAAAGCAATTCAAATGAAGCCTAGGAGCACATCTCATCACCACCATGATTTCAAACAAGTGTGAAGGGCAGAATCTATTTTGAAGTATCTATTACAAGTGCAAGATGACGTGAAGGTCAGTGACACTTCAGTTGGTGAAAAGTCACCGTCCTCGCTGCTCTGGCTGTTGCCTATGTTCCTTATTGAAGGGTGTGCTAAATTTTCACTTCACAGCTATAAAAAAAAAAAAAAATTATAAAAATGCATTTTCCCCATCTAGGTTTACAGACCCCTGAATTCCATCTCCTTGGGCCCCAGATTAATGGCCCTTCCGTAAAACAAGTTCAGGTTCTTTAAAATGGGATGAGACATAATTAAAGAACAAAATATTTTTTAACATATAAACCTCCCTATGCAGCAGTTGAGAAAGGTATATTATATTACAACTTCTCATAAATACAATTGCAAACAATAGAAAACCTTCATGGGACTTCCCATATAGGAAAGCAATAGATCTGTGTGTGTGCCAAGATTTGTTAAAATGTTCCATAAACTTTTGGTCCTGTATTCCAGGAACTAATCCTAAATAAGTCATCAGAAATGTGATGCATAGGCATGGTTTTCACATTTTAATTAATAATAAAAATTTGGAATCTCCTAACTAGGTAAGGATAGAGGAATGACTGAGTAACTTTAGCATATTCACATAGCAAAATGTAACCGGGCCAAAAAATGGTGTTTTCAGATATTTATTGGCACAAGAAAATTCTCTCAGTTTCCTGGTGTGATATAACACATAACCTGGTGTGAGATACATATTCAAAAGGCTGAAGGTGAAATGTGACAAAATTCAATAACAGTGAGGTTATGGGTGATATTTATTTTGTCCTGAATTCAAGCCATAAACTTTTTTGAGAACCTACTGTGTGCCAGGTACTGGATTATGCAGGAGGTCAGTGTCCTATGTTACGTCTCTTCTTCAGGGCCTCACAGCCTCGATCTTACATCCGTTGACATTTGCCAGGCTTTACAAGAAGCTTGCATTAGTTTTATTAATTACAAAAATATCCTGGGGCTTTAATTCTTTTATTGTTATTACAGACTTGCCTTAGGGAAATGTATGCTTTTCCTTCAAGAGTGAAATCAGGGTTGACGTGAAGGGAAACAGTCCAGGCATTGGTGAAATTGTTGACTCTTGTCGGAAACAGAACCATCTTCAGAGATTGTATTCTGATCATCTCGGTGATTACATACATTGTTCGTGTTTTGTCTTTCCATTCAAGGACACGATACTTAATTCTCTTTGGATTGCAAGAATGAAAATACCTGCAATGCTTATGAGATATAACGTGCATTGATTATCTTTTAGCAAGGTAAATTAAAATCGATTTGTTCTGTTATATAACAGTTCTAGAACATACGTTAAAATCGTATAAAAACAAAGGAAATCAACCAGTTCTAATGCCGTTGAAAGCATCAGAAGTTGGGTTTTTCTTTTCAAAGCATAAATATCATCCAAAAAAAGCCAGTCATAATTTCCCCCTGTTCTTTATTCACCCATGCCAGCCATGGAGAAAACTGCCTCCAAACTAATTTCACAGTGACCTTGTGATGGGGTTATGAGCCTAAGAAATTGTAGCAGGAGCCTCGGGCAGGATTTATGAGAAGATGTGAATTGGATTTTGCATGGGGAAGGAAAATTTCATTTAGTATTTATTGCCCAGCGCTATTTTAACATAGGGCAATGGGATGGCTTGACCCCCTTGAGGACGATCCTGAGCCCCGTGCCAGCCCTGGGGGGTGGAAACATCAGACCCGGCAGCTGGCTCAGCATCTTCCAAACCTAATGGCCAGACCCGTCTCACTCACCTCTGTTGTCTGAATGTGTTCTAGAACCTCAGGGAAGCCCCTTTCCACTAAAGTACAATGTCTGCTTCTAGACACCTACACACAGTAATGTGACTACAAATACCTTGCGTGCGTTAAGAAACCAATATGTGCCAACCTCTCTTAGGTGTTGTACTGGTAACCACTCTAAACTTAGCCGTTCATTCTCCTAACACCAAAGGCAAAGAGTTCACTGCCATTTTGTGGACCGTGAAACTGAGACCCAGCCGAAAGCAGGTCATGTAAATTATTCCCTGGGATGGGATGAGCGATGTCTCTTTCTCCTCTCAAGCTCTGTCTCTGTCGTGGCTCCTGGGACCTGTAATGCAACAGGGTCTGGAGATGGGGAGACTGTCTTGGATTGTCCGGTAGACCCAATGTAATGAGACTCTAATGATCCTTGTAAGGTTTGAATGCAGTGGGATCAGGGATCTGACAGGATCGGAAAGGGGGACCAGGAGCCAAGCTGAAGACACAGGGCTGTGGGTTCTCCCCTGGAGTCTTCACGAAACCAGCCCTGCCCTCGGGACCGGAAGAGAGTAAGTGTGTGTTATTCTTGGCCACCACGTTTGTGGGAAATGTTGCAGTAGCCAGGGGCACCGAGCGCCCTTCCCGAGTTCGCTCCTGTAGCTGCAGTAGAATGAGGTCTCAGCCCCAGGGAGGCAGGTCGCTGGCTCGGGCTGCTGGCCGCGGCGCTGCCTTCAGGATCTTCTGACTCCTGGAACGGGCCCCGGATTTAGGAGAGCATAGTGGATGAGTGAGCGGCAATGTGGGTTCCCACGGTTTGCGTCCAGAGCCTGCCCTCCCACCACCAGCAGTGTGGCCTTGGCCAAGACACACAGTCCCCTAATCTTCACCCCCCCACACACACACAAAATGGACATAATGGCTACACTTGTCTCCCGGGGTCCTGAGGATGGAGGAACTGAATGCCTGAGACGCACTTTGCCTGGTTCTTGACTCCCTGTCCACGTCATGATCACAAGTTCATCAACAGAAGATGCCGCAAGGCTTTCTAAAGCCACGAGGGCTTAGATGCCAGATTTGAATCATGCTGCTGGGACTGTACATCCACCAGTCAGGCAGCGAGTCCTGTCCATTGCGGGGAGGTGTGTGTTCAACAAGTCCTTCCTGAAATGAGTTCCAGTGATGGTGGAGAGCTGAAAGCCAGCTTACATGGTCACGGGGTACAGAGTTCTGACCCTGGGGACAGTGACGTATGTGGCCGCCTGGTGTCCTCGGGAAGTTGCCTGGAGATCTCGATGAAGGCATCTTGATTAAGAGACAAAGCGGGTAACCCTGTATACACAGTGCTCATGGAGTAAATGTAGATTTAGAACATGCTGGATTGGGGCTCTGGGGAGAGGCAGGAGTTAACCTTCTTCTAGAGGAGCATCTCAAGATGTAAAGCAACAGTTTATGCTGGAAGGCTTTGATGAAATGAGTCTCTCCCAAATGAATAAAAAGCAGATGTATTATAAGCAGGGCTTGTTTGCCATCGCTGGGCATTCCGGAGCATCTCTAATCACAGAGCATATTGTCTCACACCAGACCCTATTTTCCCGTAAGATCAATGCTGTCCCTGGGGGTTGCATCCCTGATGGAGGGCTTCAGCTTCAAACAAATCCTAGCTGGCAAAAGAATGTATCATAAAAGCAAAACTCTAACCATCCGAAACACTGACCATCATTTTGTGCAGGGACGGTGCATCAGACCTGTTCTGGTCCGCAGGTGTCCAGCAGGCGTCTAACTTACAACCAGGCACTTTGCTAGGCACCAGGGACGCCTAGGCAGTCAGACCCATCCCTTGCGCACATAAATCATTTTATCTCATCGAGGTGGGTGCGCTGAGCGGTGTGTGCACTTACTGTTGATTTTCTAAGAAGCCCCACTGTTCTGCACACGGCAAAAAAAGTCTTCAGTGTCAAAAACCAGACTGTAACTTGACAGCTGTGGTGTTTCGGAAGGAACAGCACACTTAGAGTGATGAGACGTATTTTTGATTTCTGTATCGGTTAGGGTTCTCCCTGTCTGTTGAAGGTGACAGAAAGCCTGGGTCCAACTCGTCTCCTCAAGCGGGAACAAAGGGATGAACAAGGAGGTGGTCGTGGTAGAATGATTGCCTCCCGAAACAGACAAGTCTGACGGAGACCTTCAAGTGTGGCTGGTGTGGTGGCTTCCAAATAGGTCTAGAAGTTCTTTGACAGCCCTCCCTTCCAAAGGTGGCGTCTAGCAACCCTCCCTGACGTGTGGGTCCAACTTAGTCACTGGCCCCCCAAGGGACAGAGCAGAGCACAGCGATGGCGTGGGGCTTGTGAGGCTGGATCATCACCCACGCTGCCCTTGCGCTCTACTCTTTCTTGAGACGCTCCCCAGAAGCATGACCTTCGGATGGCTGTAGCCCCGGCTTCCTCCTGCCTGTGACCTCAGCCCCGGGGAGCCGCTCCAGAGCTCCGGACCCTCAGAGGACACGGGGACCATACATCCTCACTGCTGTTCCATTGCACGGTCCAGCTGGGCTCGAGCCGAGGAGATGGCTTCACCACTGAACTTCTCTCTGTCACTTGGCTCTTCTCCGTGCCGGCCGTGACCGCAGGAGGGCTCCGCTCTCTGCATGGGAAATCAGGGTTTACCTTCTAGCTTTAGAGCCTCCTGTTTTTCCAGGAGGGGAGACGCAGTGAATATCTCTCCAGGCGTTCCCTAGTAGTCCTGGGATCCACTCTGATGGGACCGGCCTCAGTCA